ACGCGAGTATGTATTTGGAAAGTTTCAAGATGAATCTCCTCGTCTAAAGTATCAAATTAGTGAGGAGGATTGGTTACGGCTTTGTGCTAGCCGAATGGACCCCTCTTGGCGGGATAAAAGACATGCTCGCCCAACAACGTCGAGGTTGAATGATGCACCCCATGTATTGTCACGAGGAGGGTATGCATTATTGGAGCAACGTCTCATGAAAGCCGAGAGAAGAGTCGGCAGGAGTTGAGTCTATCGACCTTGCATCTCCACCCCTCGCTATGAGATGTGGAAGGCAGCCGGACAAAATCCGATGGACAAATGACTTCGAGTCCGCACGAATCATTGCTCGGAAAATCGTAAGTTATAATGTCAATTTGAATTGATTCTAATGTGAAAGTTAGTGTATGACTTAATTATTGTTAATGTGTTGTAGGATGATTTAGTTGAGCAGAGCACCCAAGGATCATTTATTCCTCATGGTCGACAATATATATTGGCGACGACCATAGGAAAACTAGATTACTCGGGACGTGTGCGTGGTGCTGGTGGATCCCGGGGCCTTCGTGATTACTTTGGTCCAACATCACGAAGGACCACTACTGACTCTTGCAGCTAGGAGGCCTTGCATAAAATGGAGATGCAGTTTGAAGAAAAGTTAAATCAAATAAGGCAGTCCTTGCAGCAAGAGTTTGATGAAAAATTTGAATCTCTCGCCCGCTCTCAGCAACAGACTCAAGGAACACCTCAAACAATTGAACATGATGTTGTTCGAGTCAGCACTAAAGGGAGTTGTGCTGCTACTACTGCTGATCCTTCAGGAAAATATACTCAGACTGATGCATCACACTAGTGTGAGTTATATGTTGAAGATGACCCCCCGCGTCTAGTGGCTATTGGTCGAGTTTTTGAGGGTGGTTTAACCATCCATGGTGTCCCTCTACAGGTAGACTGGACACAAGTAGTAGTTGATGAAGTTCATGATGCTAATGCTCCAGTGCCTTTTCCTAATGAAGAGATTCAATTAGTGGGACAGGCAAGCGGGACATTCTTGGCTTGGCCAAGACGTTTGGTTATGCCACTATCAGCACAGACCAAGGTATATATATATATATATATATATATATATATATATATATATTGATTGTCTATTTTCTCTTTTCTAGTATTATAATTATATAAATGTTTAATTAATTGTTATCATTTGTTTAGGAGGACTTGCGTCGTGCTAAGCATAAAAAACAACCTATTATTGATGAGGATTTGATGAGAATGTGATGATGATCCCATCTCTATGTTGTTGACCATATTACCACGGTTGAGGAAGAGACCGGTGTCGGATAATATGGGATGTTAGAGTGTTTGGAATTGACAATTCCGAGTGTTCCATTATACATTTCCTTGCCCGATGCTTTAGAAATTGCTTGGGAAATTGCATGTTAAACATTTCCATCATACAATTGTGGGAAATGTAAGTCATTCTCATTTATGTTTCTAAGATTATAATAATTATATTCAACTTATAATTAATTGTTTTAGGTACATTGACAAATTGAGTGTGGAACAAGAAAAATCCGAAGTATACGGATTTATTGAGCCTCAATCCATCCAAAAATCTGGAAATACAAAGGTTGGAATCCAACAATATATGCAAACATGGATGAGTGACTCAAAAAGACATATATATTTGGCTCCATACATTGAAGGGTTAGTATTTTAATTTGTATTTTAATTTATATTTTTGTAACTAATTTTTATGTCATACAATGTAGGTCTCATTGGCGATTAATTGTAATCATACCCTAGGATTACACTCGTGGTGTGGTTTTGTTCATTACATCGGAAACCGAGTCAAGAAATGAAAAGCTTATTACAAGGGTAACTTTATCTTTTATTCATTAATTATGTTTTTAAATTGTAAATACATATTGAATAATATATGACTTTTTTCACTTAGAATCGTGTCTGGAACTAATGTTCTAAGTGGAAAACCTCGAACAAAGACTTTGCAGTTCATTTATCCTAAGGTTAGAAACTTATTTATGTAAGTGAATACCATAATTATTGTTTGTATTTAAATTTTGAAAATAACATTATGTTTTTTTCATCATTTCAGTGTAATAAGCAAACAGACTCGTTTGAATGTGGTTACTATGTGATGTATTGGATGAGAGTCATAGTTTGTGCGGGTATAATTGATTCTTGGACGGAGGTAATTGCTTTTAACATTAGTTAAGTTTATTTAACTTTATTCATGTTGCAAGTTTACAAGAGTCAAATTAATGTTTCAGGTATTTCAAGATCCATCTCCATTACCAGAATATGATATTACACAAATTAGAGAACAATGGGCAAATTTTTTTGTTCAACAATTCTAGTACATAATTTTTTAAGTTCTTGTTCATATTATATTGTGTGTATTATGTAGTTTAGGTAGCTTAGTTTGTATTAACTTTTAGTTTGTAATAGATTTTTTAGTTTGTATGTTTGTATTATATTGTTTTATTATATAGTTTGAACTATATAATATTATATTTTTAATTTACTAGCTAAAGAAAATTGAACCTCCGGATCTGTCTGGTTGTAATATATATTTGCAGGTTTTAGTTGTAAAACGAATCAACCCAATTTAAAAAAAACGACAAATTTACGTTGCATATTGGTATATGCGACGTAAATTTACGTCACATATTGGTATATGTGACGTAAATTTACGTCGCATATACCATATGCGACGTAAATTTGCTGTGTTTTTTTAATTTCTGAAAGTTTTTACGTCTGTTTAATGGTATATGCAACGCAAAATTACGTCGGGTCTTGATAACTGACGTAAATTTACATCGGGCTAAAGGATCCGACGTAAATTTACGTCTCCCGTTTTAACGTTAATCTTAAATACAACGTAAAAAGCCCTAAATACCTGACGTAAAAGCCCTTTTTTGCACTACTGAAATCACTTACACTACAAGAAATATTAAAATTACAGACCGGTCAAAATCCGTCGGTAAATGAATATTACCGAGCCGAATTCGACGGCCAAAAATCCGTCGGAAATTCGATTGTCGGTAAATATTACCGACGGATTTATCCGTCTGGTAAATGTGTTACTGAAATTACCGACTGATTTATCCGGTCGGTAATAATTTTATTAATTATTAAATATTTGACTTATTTATAACATATTTTTTTTTATAGAACTCCTCCCTCTTTTATTTATTACTAATTATTCCTCCCTCTTATATTCTTATTATTTATTACTAATTATTTCTCCATATTATATTTTTATAGCTTTGAATTATTGTTGGATTAAGAGAAATGTCATTGGCGAGGATTCGAACCCAGGATCTTAGAGTCAGAGCTCGATACTCCAACCACTAAGCTACTAGAATTTCTTGATAACAATTTACAAATAAATTATATTTATATACAAATATACAAATACATTTATATATATTTATATATATTTATATATATTAATATATATTTATATATATATTTATATATTTATATATATTTTTATATATTTATATATATTTATACATATTTTTATATATTTATATATATTTATATATATTTATATATATTTATATATATTTTTATATATTTATATATATTTATATATATTTATATATATTTTTATATATTTTTATATATTTTTATATATTTATATATCTATATATTTATATATTTTATATTTATATATTTTTATATATTTTTATATTTTATATTTATATATTTTTATATTTTATATATTTATATATTTATATATTTATATATTTATATATTTTATATTTATATATTTTTATATATTTTTATATTTTTATATTTTATATTTATATATTTATATATTTATATATTTTATATTTATATATTTTTATATTTTCATATATTTATATATTTATATATTTTTATATATTTATATATTTTCATATATTTATATATAATTAAATATTTATTTTTAAAATTACTTAATTTAATAAATGATTATAAATTAATCTAATTATGATTAAATTAAATTATTAAATAAAAAATATTTATTTTTTAATTAGTGAATAATTAAATTATATTATATAATTTTACCGACGGATATATCCGTCGGTAAATAATTTTTAATTTACATATGAATTTACCGACGGATATATCCGTCGGTAATTAATTGTTAAATTATCGACGGATTTACCGACGGATATATCCGTCGGTAAATTCATCAATAAATTACCGACGGATTTATCGACTGGATATATCCGTCGGTAACTAATTATTATTTTACCGACGGATATATCCGTCGGTAACATCAAATTTCACAAATATTCTATATCCGTCGGTAATTTCCGTCGGTAATGATTATTTTCCGACGGCTACAAATCCGTCGGTAAATATCCGTCGGTAATACGCGATTTTCTTGTAGTGTTACTTACCTATTAATCAAGAAAGATTTTTTTGTTTGTATCGCATAAAAAAAACCAACGAACCTACTATTTCATGAAGTAATAAGGTAAATAATTTGATTAATTTATTCATGATGGGATTCTATTTTTTTATACCCTATTGTCAATATTAGTATTGACAATCGAATAAAATCAAAATAAGATTTAAAATAAAAAATAGAAATGTAACATTTTTAAATCTATTTTGGTATAATAAACTTCTTTTAAGGACCCAATAAAATTGATGAGTTATGCACCTTCAATTTTTTTAGTTATGTTAATTTTAAGAACTACATTAAGTTATAATCCTCTTTAAAAAAATAAGTTTTTTTATTAATATAATAATAATAACATTGTTAAAGAGGAATTATAGAACTATGTTTGAGAAAAATGAGATATATGGATACTAGTGTTCCGCAACAAAATTAACTCTTTATCTAAAATAAAAATTAGAACTATTGATTTAAAATAAAAGTTATAATGTTTTACGCATAAGAAATAGTAAAAAGTGATATAAATGGTGTTAAAATTTGAAGAAGAATGAGATGGAGTCGATGGTATTTTGCACCTTAATTAATGATAAAGCTACTGTACGAGGCCTATGCGCTGACACTGCACCCCTCCCCCCTCTCTCCTGTTAAAAGCATGTGCATCTTTAGAGCCTTGTGTGCGTTTGTTTATGCTGAGAGTGACGAATGCCTGTCCACAACCATTTCAACTGTGGCACTGAAAAACATGGCATGTTTTTTTTTACATATATGCATTTGCAAGGAACTCTTATTGAAGGAAAACGACCCCTCCCTCTTTCACCCTTTTTCTCCCTCTTTTCCTTTTTGTTTTCTCACATCTAATTCCATCTCAAAAGGAAGATTTAGACCCCCCCCTAATGTTCGTATACACGAAATGGTCCCAACCATTGCCATCATTCACCCGGATGAATGTCACATGTATCATTCATTTAATATTACCTAAAGGGTCCATCTTTACAAGGCTACCTGACATATTAATAGCATCATGCTTTACTCCTACGTCATTAATGACATTATTGTCAATAAATAAATAAATGGATTCAACAATTCTTTCTTTTCCTTTTCCTCACCACATGCATGCATTGCCTCTAATGTATAGCCCGTAAAATCCTCAAATACTTTCTATTCCCAAATATAATCATTAATCTACCCTGAAAGATCGAGAATTGTGTTTTTCTTTTGTTATAGATATATCCTCATCTGTTACGGAATTTTCTTATTCTGATACGGAGATGGAATCAGCCTTCACTTCTGCTTGTTCTATAGGTACAGTTTAGGCCACAAGTAAGTGGAATCCAACTATTATTTTGAATTAATCAATTTCTTTTTTGGAGAAGAAAAGTATAGAGTACTCTCCTCCATATAACAAATGAACAGATATGTTAAAATGAAGAAAAACAAGTTACAACTCACCTTTAAACAAACCTTCAACAGTCAGACTGTCAAATTCCTAAACACATCTAGACAATAATATTATAATAAAGAATATGAACTTTCTTTAAGATAAAACAAATTTGACCTTGTCAAGAAAAAGAAAAAAAAAAACACTACAGAACCAAGGAAAAAAAAAAAAGAATAGGAAAAGAAAAGAACAATATAACTTCTTGTGAACTCTTCCTCCTGCAATATCATTATATCATATCATGTCTTCTCCTTATGCAGAATAAAGCTTGTCTTTTCTTTCTTTTCCAAGCACAGTGCGGGTTTTGGTCACAGTATATGTCATTCATTCTGCTTCTCCTTCTGTGGTGGCTGAAGACATGTAACTCATCACAATGGAGGTCTCTTCTGATGGAACCCCAACAGCTGAAGAATGAAACTGTTGCCTGCAATTTTGGCATGTTATTTCGAAAACAGTGGAACTTATCTTCTTAATGGCTTGCTTTCTCAACTCTTCAGCCTTTGCAAGTTCAGACTGTGCTTGTTTTCTTATCCTTTTGGCATTCTCAAACTCAAGTTCAGCTATTTCTATTTGACGTTTGGCCTCTTTCCTTGCCTCTTCTGCGTAAGCCTTTTCTGCCATGGCCAACTTGAGTTCCTCACCTGCAAACTCTTTCAACCTCGCCACTTCCGATGTGGCATAGTCACTCACATTGTTATTCCTTTCAGGTGGGCTCCCATGTGCTTCTGAACATACTCTCTCTGCTTCATCCCCTTTGCCATTACTACATGAGCCTATTGAAAGTTTCAAACCATAGTTTTCCTTTGGGTTTCGTTTTTCTTGAGAATTTATTGAGGAAGGTAAGAGCTGAAGTTCCAAGTTACGAGAGGTGGTGGACTTGTTATTGTGTACCTCTGAAGTTAATAAAACTGTTGCTGGTTGATCAGCAGAAGCTGGTTTTGGCAGTGGAAGTCCTTGCAATGGTGGGGCTATGCAAAAATTTGCCTCACTAGAGGGACTTGCGCTTGAAGCTGTTCTAGAAGAGCATGCAGGTTGCAGTGCTTGCAACTCTGGCCTGTGCTGCCGGACCGTGCATGCATCTTGGTGTTCTATGAAACTCTCAACCCTGAAAAGGACAAAAGTTTAGGTAATTTAAATAGACTAGGTAGATGCATATATTATGTATTGTGGCTTCATCTTCTTGTCTCTGAATATATAATCGGCCAAGGAAAGAAAAAAACTTGGTCAAACAAAGATATATGTGTAATAAAATCCTTGTTAGTGTATGTTTCAAAACAGGCCCTTATAAATATTTATTAATCAAAGGTCTGGTCCATGGATGCAATGGACAACTTTCAAATTGAATAGTATATTAAAATAAAATAAAATGAGACAAATGGATCAAATTAATGAGATCTTCATAAGTTCAAATAAAAAAATGAAAAAACTGTTCGCTTCGATAAACGGGCTTTTGTTTGGGTCATTCGTTTATCAATAGTAGTGTGGAGATAGACTCCTTAAACTTAAAATCTGTCATAGGAATTTCCAGTGTAGATCCAGAATGAGGGTATGTGTGTAATATTATAACATAATGCTTATGAGTTTGAAAATTGACTTATATTTTTTGGGACTTCCAAAATAGAATAATAATATATTAATAACCTCTAGAAGATGGAAAATCTTTCACATGAAAGGTATCTGAGATTCAGAATTTTTGTTTCTCTGCACCATCCTTGTACATATAGTTTTAGGGTTTGACCATGATCATACTATAATTTAAGAAGTAAAATAATAATAATAATTAATAATAGTAGTTTGGTTTCCGTTATTGAGAGCAAAAACAACCGCTGAGCAGGGGCTGAATCTGAGGAGCCAAAAACACAGAAACCAAGAAAGAGAGAGAAAGGTGGAAACTTGAAATAATGGACAAACAATCACAGATTGTGTGAGAAGTGGAAGTAAGATGAAAAACAAAACATAAACAAACCTGGAAAAGACACGGCCACAGTCACAGGAATGGCCCCGGGTGCCACAGGTTTTGATATGTGCCTTGTAATCAGATTGAACAGCATAACCCTTGGAGCACTTGTCACAGACCCACTGCTTGTGATTGCTGTGCTTCCTTCTGAAGTGCTTCTTGATGCCCACAAGATCCCCAAGGGCATGGCAAGGGTCATGGTGCAAACAGCTTGGTTCTGGACACACAAACACCCTCTTCTTCTGCCCTTGTGTTTCCCTCTTGAGCAATTTCCATGGCACCTTGTGCCTTCTCCTGTGCATTTGAAGATTCTGGTCCCTCTGGAACCCTTGGTTGCAGATCTCACACACATATCTGTCAGATTCTAGCAAGGTGGTGGGTGAGAGAGACACAACCTCAGCATCTGGATCTGCATAAATAAATACATATCCACACAGGAACAACAACAACAGCAACACCAACAAGGGAAAAGAGATTAACTTTAGAGAGAAAATCAAAACCCCACGAATTTTATCTGGGTTTAAAGCCTGAAAGTTGAAACTTAACCCCATAAAAGGGAATAAAACTTTACCGGGTGTGCCTGCGGGTCTTCTTTTCCTTTTGTTAGCCACCCCATTTTCAGATAATGCAAAGGCGGCATCAGAGGAAGATGGTGCACCAGAAGAACCACTATTGTCTAACATGGGTGGAATTTTGTGCGTGTGCTCTGAGGACTATATGTAACTAGCAGGATTAATTCTCACGACGACTAGTACAAGTGGTGAGGTTGCAATAGTGGGTTTCAGCTTTACTGGTATGGAAAAGAAGACGAGGGATGATAGTGGCACAACTGAAGGAAGAAAGAGAGAGATAGAGATAGAGATAGAGATAATAGAAATAATAGAGAGAGAAAAAGTTGTTGCTTTATGTAATCAGCTTTCTTTAAGGCTTTTTTCCCGTAGCTTTTTCTTTGCCACGAGCTTTCTTGCTTTGTTGTTTCATTGACCCCTCACCTCGAGCAGGTAAGGTTGAAGGCAAGTCTTGTTTATAAAGCTCTCTCTATAACGTGTGTGATTAAGGGATGCGAGTGTCTTTTGCTTGGGGCTGACCCAATTCCAATTAACGTTTCGTTGAAACTTTTGAGTCCCCACACGCGGAATTTTGGACAGGAACAAAAAAAACATCCTCCTCTCTGATCCAACCACATAAGAAAACAGCACCATAGTCGTTGTTGTTATTATTATTATTATGTTATTCTTCTTTTTACTATTATCATCGTTATTTCGTTCATGGCGCTGTAATTTGCATGAATACATGTCGGCCAAGAACCCCGTTATGCGTGACCTCACCCTGTCACTGCCTCTGGTCACGTGACATGCACGTGACAAAGTCATTCGGTCACACTTCTTGTGACAGGATAAATAGAAGAGATAGAGAAAATCATATAAGGAAAATGTTGGAGGAAACCTAATTCTTTTAGACCACTTCTTACAGGACATATTTTATTTTGACGAGGCATTAGACTTCTTACACTGTAGAGACTAACCCTCAACTTATCAACCTGTATTGTAATTATTCAATCGTGCATTCATTTCTTTCAATTTTTTAAAGAATAGTCAAAGAAAGGTAGATGTCCTCGTGTTCAATTGTGGTGGGTGTCCGGCTTCGATAGGTTTCTCTTCTGTAAAACCATAATTTGTGCATTCGACTTCATTCATTTTTCAGAAATAGTAAAAGAAAATGGGTGTTCTGATATTCAATTATGGAGGTGTTCGATTTCTTCTTCCATCAAACTCTAATCTTTAACTGTGATTTACGACTTCCCTTTTCCTTATTCTCTTGTGTGCCCAACTGGTATGTGGTGATGGCTGTGCTCGGATAATCTTTTGTGGTCTTCCCTTTTTTCTTTTTCTTCGGGGCATCCGTTTGTCTGGCATCATAGAAGTTTGATTCTTCGGTTGATTAACACTGAGGTAAGATCGGAGTTTTTCCTGTAATATGCTATATTGATGAATTGACGTTGGAAATCTTGTTGAGTTTTCATAATGTATTTTAGGATTTTCGATTGAATGTGTCATTATTGTTCCATTTTTGAACCAACACTTCCTTCTTATACATTCTTGACTTCTTGACTTGTTCCATTTATTACATTCCCTCTAGTACATTAAACTTAATAACAATAGGTAATTTTCCTATATTCTGAATTCATTAATTATGAAAAACTAATTTACAGGATCTTTAAATTATTGATTTTCATAATATAACATATATCAATACATGAATCATAATAAGAAGATTAACCTTGATCCATGAGAATCTATTTTTTAATCTTTTCGTTCTTCAATCTCCTTTTCCCAATCTATCTCTTTGTCTTTCTTTCTCTTTTCAAGTTTTCTTAATGGTTTACAGTGAAAAAAAACGTTATGACCGGATACGGAACCCTAATCCCTTTTATTAACCAATGTCCATCAAGTTGGTTACCGTAAGTTAATATTTTATTTTATTCTAACTTCACATAATAACCAATAAGTCTTCATATTTTATTAAATCACATTTGGGTCCATCATTATATTTCATATGAGTCACATAATGAAATAAATTAATTAAATTAATCTAAAATAAATTAATTAAATTAATTCTAACATTAAAGATAAACGTAAGTCTTCTAGCTGTTACATAATTTTGCACAATTATGCAGAAATTTGAAGTAAATTCAACACAATTTGCTTACTGGGGCATAATCAAATTTGCATTAGATAACATCTGGACAACTTCCTGTTCAAGGAAGCAGGGGTGGTGACTAGGGTCTTGTGAAGTCAGTATGCTTGAGCTGATGAAAAATGTAAGAATGTGGTTAAGAATCTCGTGTTGGAATATTGTCGGAATGTCTATCTGGAGACAATTTATTGGTTGTGATGCTTAAGAGCAAGAAATATAAGTTGTTACACTACAAGAAAAAACGGTATTAGCGACCGAAAAAATCGGTCGCTAATGGCTAAAAATCGGTCGCTATTCTGTTAGCGACTGAAATTAGCGACCGAAATGGTTGGTCGCAAAAGGGCAAGTCGCTAATTCGTTAGCGACCGATTACAGATCAGTCGCTAAATAGCGACCGATCAGGTGGTCGCTAAAGTGGTCGCTAAATAATTTGGTCACTTATTCTTTGGAGACCAAAATAGCGACCGAAAATAATATAATAAATCGGTCGCTAAATCGGTCGCTAAATCCGTGGTAAAATTTTAAAAAATAGTGACCGATTTATTCGATCGCTAATATATTAATATAATTATTTAAATAATAATTAAAATCGGTCGCTAAATTGGTCGCTAAATTGGAGACAAAGTTAAAAATAATAGCGACGGATATAATCGGTCGCTAATATATTAATTGAATTATTTAAATAATAATTTAAATCGATCGCTAAATCGGTCGCTAATCTAACCAAATCTGAAAATTTTCGTTTAAAATTTTGTATATCCAATTTGACAAAATTTGTACCTGTTTAATTCATCCAAACATAACACAAATGAAAACTTAAGAACTAAAGTCAAATTATTCAAATCATAAAATTTGTACCGCTTAATTCATTCAAACATAACATAAATGAAAACTTAAGAACTAAAGTCAAATTTTGTATATCCAATTTTACAAAATTTGTACCTGCTTAATTCATCCAAACATAACACAAATGAAACTTAAGAACTTAACAACTACTCAAGATTCAAAGTCTTAATATCATAAAATTGAAAATTAGTCCTCTGGTATATTGTCAGTGTCATGTTGACTAGTGTCATGTTGACTTGTAGTAGGATGACTATTCATTTGAATATGTTGTAAAATAAGCTTCATCTACTCATCTTGTTGGCGTTGGTTGTTCCTCAACTCCTGCATCTCTTCTTCAAGTGTCTTCTCCTTATTATGCTTTGCCACCAATTTAGCATTTAACTTTTCAATAGTCTCACGCATTTGTTCAATTTGATGAAGTACTGGAGTTTGAGTAGAAGATTGAGAACCTGATGTAGTAGTGAACTTTTTGCTCAATGTACCAAGTCCATACACATTTCCTTTTTTATTTTAACCTCCAACAACTGAAATGTATATTTGATTATCATCAACAGAGACAATAGGAGACTCTTGTGAAGATGAGCCTTCACGCAAGTTTTGTTGATGGACTTCTTCTCTGCGTTGCATATATTGTTCCTAAAAATGAAGTGAAATATAATTATTATGAAGAAAACATATATTGAATAATAAACTATAACTTAGATGTTAAACATACAACAAGATAACGAGTTTTTTCATTGACCCATTGTCCAGTCTTTAATTTCTTTGTCCTCTCAACAACCTCCCAAACGGTTGGTTCCCGTTGAAACTCCGTAGTCTACACATTAAAATGAGACAAAATTCATTACCTAAAGTGTAATATATTGTATTAAATTACTTATATAAAAATATAATAAACTTACCATCTTCTCAAAGTGAGCTGCAGTAGATATGGAACCCCCACGATAAGTCGAGGCACCCTTATCAACAGCTCGATTAGCCTTGGCAATGGCACTCTTGTTTTGGAAATCCGGAGAACTCCAATGTAAGTCCAAAGATGCTCGAACAGTGGCGGTATCCAGATTCCCGTATCCTTACCCTTCCTAACTTTGTTCATTGAGTTTTTTAAAATTCGAGAACCTTTCTTATCAAAAACAGATCTTATGGCTTGCTCTTGTTCCACATCCCATATATACTCTTTACTGCATAAATAAAATACACAACAAAAATTTAATTTATAAGAATGAAATGACATTGTTTAATGTAACTATAATTCAAATTACCTTGAACTCTCCAAACCATCTATCTCGAAGCTCAAGTGAAACCTTTCTCCAAGTGGGACTTGGTTCATCAAATTTTTGTTTGATGATTCTAGAGATTATAAGCGGGAGGACCATTTCTTGGTATAAACCTGTGTTGAAACATATTGTGGGATTGATATTATTAAGAAATTTCATATTAAAGAATTATAATTAAATTAAAACATACTTACTCTCCTTTGTCCGCTTGTAACCATGGCCTTTGATCAACCATATTTCCGGACTCAACCTCGGTTGCGGCTCGACCCAGTACTGTGTAGGTTGACCAAATGTCGCCTCAACAGAGAAGGTAGTAGGAATTGTTTCTCCTACTATAGCTACGGGAGATTCCTGCTGAGTTGAGGGAGGTGTGCGTTCTACAAACATAGGATTAGTAGACTCCATGGATCTTGGTCGAACGGAACTAGGAGAGTTAGGGTCGGGTGAACCTCTATCATCAACCAGTACACCTCAACCACCACGATGAGGTGGTCTACGACCACCACTTCTACCCCTTTGTGGCATCTACAAGCGGATCTTATTACATATGTAACATGCATAAAATTAAACAATTGAAATAATGAATTACCTGATTGTGTTTTCTACACCCAAACGTGTCGGTTATCTTACCACTCATTCACCTGCAAATAATTAAATCATAATCATATCAATATATATATATATATATATATATATATGTATATATATGCAATATTAAATAAAGGTGTACAATCAAATTTAACAATTGTAAAAATAATTTTAATGCATGAATTACCGAAGTATCCGTATCATCAAAATCACTCTCGAGTCTCATCCTCACTTGAAATATATTCATCCTCATCTTCATCTATATTTCTTTCATT